AATTATTGGCACTATGTGTCCTTAACAAAATATTTATTTCAATTTTACCAAATATCACATATTTTGGCAAAGCGAAGAAGGCAAAGCACTATTTCGAGTGATAACACAGAGATGGCCGAGAGTTATACACTGCTATCACATTTTTTTCATATCTAGGGATATATATCTTGCTAAAAATCACAATGAGCCTTACTCCATCTGTATGGTACCGACCGGTCAATTTGGGGGGTCTGGCTCATAGCCTACTAGTCTGCATTAGTCAATCTCTGAGTAGAATAAATCATCTCATCTGTTACCATAAAGACGTGTTAGCGTTTCTGTGATCTCCATCGTCAACGTCTTACATCGCACGAGAGGCAGAGACAAGTCTGACGTTGCCTTCAAGCTTACCGCAGCACGAACCGAACCGAAACGATATCACCTATATAACAATTTGAATAATGCTAAAATTAAGTAGTAAACTATACATTGTCACGTGGTTATGGATATAAATATAGCAATAAAATATTTTTGAAGCGGCATACCTCTTATATCCATCAATGTATCTAGTCAAAGTGGGGTTCTATACAAGCATTTTGTGCCTAAAAATATTTTGATCAAATAGACGACACAAAAGCTGCCTTGTTCAAACCTTGCATTCCTATATTGCCATCAGAAAATCGTGGCACGCTCGGGGAAGGAAGTAACATTTACACCCCAACTCCAGAATGACATGACTTCTCTGCATATATCATTAGGGCATGCAGAATAGTATGTAATTAGGCAAGATTTGTATTATGGTGCCAATATCTATAAATATAAGTCAAGTGTGATTAAGATATTATTATTTATAAATGCTACTTTATTATGAGGTTTTTATAAAAACGTTTCATTTCGTCATTGCAAAAAGTGATTGGATACAATTATCACAGATTCGCGAGTGTGCACTAATCTAAACTCTGGTGGCACTGTTGTGGTGTCACTTGTACACGCTCAAGTAAATCTTGAAGGAATAGACATGGCAGTTTGTTGACATTGTGCGAACTATATTCATCAATTCAAAATAATGGCTTGTTTGTGCTAAACATGGCATTTTTGGGGCACCTTTGTGAGGTAAATAAAGATATAGTAGTGTGTGTGTATTTGTGTGTGTACGACAATTTATGACAGCTTTTCATCAAGGGAATTTTGTTTGAAAAGTCTGTTTTTGAGCAGTGTTTTTATCGCTTCATTGTGAGCACTGTGTCAATAGGTGCGTTCACACTGGCGGGAATTAGTGGGATGCAAATCTCGGTTTTTTACCGAGATTTTTACAAGTGTGAACGCAAATATCTCACTAAATCGCGCTCCAAATAGCGCGCTCCAAATCGCACTTCCGACTGCGCTATTTGGAATTAGCGCGATTATTTGCACCGCGCCGTGTTATCCCGCTCGGCGATTAGCGAGATATTTCCGCCTGTGTGAACAACGACACAATTATCTCACTATTATCTCCGCTATTAGCGGGATGAGCATCGCGGTTTTTCTTGTGTGTGAACACGCCTAATGTGTGAATAGCTTGAATAGTGTTTGAACTATATATTGAATTGAAGCCATTTTCATTGTGATATAGTTGTATATAATCTCAAATACTGAGATTTATTAACTGCTGTATAAATCTTCAAGGTCACACCAGACAGTTCATTTCCTTATTATCACCATATCATATTATCTTGCTTATATCGTATTATATCTTATCACCATATCATATTATATCTACTACGTATTGTGCCATGTAATATCATCAAGTCCCTTGTTTGTATCGAGCTCCACGATCTCCTTGACCATACTTCGATCTTCTGTCTGTGAATCCCTCCCTATTTCCCATAGGTGCCACATTTCTCTCGCCAGCAGAACTGTTTGTGGGCACGCGCGTTGAGAAACCTGTGTTGTTGACTGCGCCGCATGTGCTCTGCCTGCAGCTGGCCAAGTGCGTGCGGGATCAGCGACGCAAGCGGCGCTCCCGGCTCTCCATTCAGCACCTGAAGCGCATCCCTGTGAAGAAGTACAAGAAGGGCGATGACTACGACGTCTGCGCCATTTGTCTGGAGGATTACGATGAGGGAGACAAGCTACGTCTGCTGCCCTGTTCACACGGTAAGTGTAGGGTGTGTGTGTGTTCACAAGGTAGGTGTAGGGTGTGTGTGTGTTCACACGGTAGGTGTAGGGTGTGTGTGTGTGTGTGTGTGTTTACATGGTAAGTGTAGGGTGTGTGTGTGTTCACACGGTAGGTGTAGGGTGTGTGTGTGTGTGTGTGTGTTTACACGGTAAGTGTAGGGTGTGTGTGTGTCTACACAGTAAGTGTAGGGTGTGTGTGTGTGTGTGTGTGTTTACACGGTAAGTGTAGGGTGTGTGTGTGTCTACACAGTAAGTGTAGGGTGTGTGTGTGTGTGTGTGTGTGTGTGTGTGTGT